TTTTTGCTAAAAAATCGCTGTTTGACTTCAAACTTTGCATAATTGTTGGGAATTATATGCTGTTTTTGGCCATGAACATGAAAAATTCATTTAGATCTTAAAACACAGCCTTTTGTAGTCATTTCTTGACCTGTCTAAAACGCATTGAGCCGTGATAATCCCATACATTCTTACCAATTTTCGTTTGCTCGTATTTCTGTTAAAAAGCATTATTTTGGCTCAAAATTTCGCAATAATACTTTTATTTAGATGTTCTATCGAGGACAATAATAATATTTCGCTAATTTGGTCTCTAAATAGCATTTTTAGAATAACACGTGATTATGAGCTTGGGCTACCTGTGGACAATTTGTGACTGATAAGCGACGACAAAGAATAAGAAGCCCGAAATTTAAACTCTGGGTTCCACAGGAACCCCGAGTAATAACCTCTTTGTCTTTGTGTTAATTTATGCCATTTAGTAAGTATGCCTGTAATAGGCGCCGAGAAGATCATGCCACGATAAATAACACAAAGTTGTCTGGTTTCTCAGCATGTTTATAAATATATATACAACAATGGAGGAATCAGACGATAAATGAACGATAAAATTTCTATTTTTATAATTTCTTTTTGAATCGACTACTTTTTGATCAGAAGGGATTTTTTATATCAACTGGTTGTAGCCTGTCAACGTACCTCATAGTTTGAAATACGAGGAAGGAACTGTGGAAAGAGAATTAATATTCGAGTTGATTATGGATAATTATATGTTTTTTTATTATTGTCTACACTACTTTTTAGAACGTTAACGACTGTACATATCATTAAGATGCTCCAAGTAAATAGTAAGAAATTGCAATCAGCTAAAAGAAAGTTTTTCTGTTTTGGTTCTGAAGCTGCTGGCAGTTTTTGCAGACAACTTCCTGCCTGTTCCACTTCTTGCAGCATGTTAAGAAAGGAGCTTTTTCTGGCCTTGGTTGTCTAGTGGTGTCAATGTTGGTGTTGATGTTGATGTAAGTGAATTCACCGGTGTGAGTGTATTAGTGGTGTGAATGTTGTAAGTGGAGCATATGGCAGTGGGAGAGCAGATGGTGGTGTCAGTGGGGTGAGCATAGATCGTGGAGTAAGCTCAGTTGGAGTAAGCTCAGTTGGAGTAAGCTCAGTTGGTGGAGTAAGCTCAGTTGGTGTTGGAAGTGTAGTGGGCGGTGCTATTGCAGTAGGTGCTGTTTGTGGTGTATATTGTGGCGTAGTTGATGGTGTAAGTGTAGTGGGGGTTGGGAATGTAGCTGGTGTGAGTTGTGTAGTTGGTGGTGTGAGTGTTCTTATAGGTGTGAGTGTTGTTTGTACAGTATACGGCAGTGTGGCTGAAGTTGGTGGTCTGACTGCTGTGTGTGTTGTAGTTGGTGTAAATGGCAGTGGCAGTGTGGTTGATGATGAAAGTGTTGGTTGTGGTGTGATGACCTGAACACTTGGATCAAATGGATTTGTTGTTGCCTGGAAAAACGACTTTCCCATCTCTTGGGCTGCATGGACTTTTGCATTATTTTTTTGTGTTGCCATTGGCTTGATTGCATTACAATAGGATATCTGGACTTACAAAGGAAAATCTTTCAGTATTTCGTTCAGTATTTCCTGTTTTGGTAGCAAATAAAAAATRCATTCATTTTGAATTGGCAAATAATCGCAGTTGGTTGCAAAGTATCTGGCAGCCGTCATGTGTATGTCATTTTGCATCGTGACTAAGGGCGATTTTTATCGTCCATGTCTTAATTTCATTACATGCAATATCCATTTTCTGTCATATCATCTATATACAGTTGTGACAAATATCGAATTGGTATAGCCTTTTGTGCATAATAAATAGAGTCAACTTTTGGTTGAGTTATGTTAGCTGAGAGTTTTTGATTTACTGTTCAAGATGCATTTAAACGATTTACAACTTCTCTCACTCTTGTATGTGCTCCTGAGCTTTACAGCTACAAATATTAACAACGATTCGAAGAAGGCATGCCATTCAAAGACGTCGATGGCGCTTCTGGATGTTGCCACGACCACGAGTTTCATGGTTTGAAATGTTTTATAGAAATTTATGTGATCCCAGATGAGTATTTTWAAGAACAACTGCGTTTCAAGACAGATACTTTTGAACTTCTTTTAAATCTACTCAGACTRGCACTGACCCGCMAAAACACTTTCTTACGTGACTGTATCCCTCCAGCCAAAGTTCTCTTGGCCTTTRCCGTCTTGCTCATGGTAACTCATATAATACAATAGCTGCTAYTTTCAATGTTGGGAAATCTACTGTAATCRAAGCTGTTCAAGACGTAATAGAAGCATTGTGTGACATACGAGAAAATTACATAAAATTCCCTTAGAGGATGAAATCGTAGAGTCAAGCGAAACCTTCGATAATCTGACAKATATACCTAATGTTGTGGGTGCTATAGATGGTACGCACATTAGAATWAAAAAAAATGGCAGTGGACCAGATTACTTCAGTCRCTACCAGCAATATGATGTTGTTGTCCAAGGAGTTGTAAATGGAGATAAAAAATTTATTTATTTAGCAGCTGGTTTCCCTGGAAGCATGCATGATGCTAGAGTTTTTAAAAATAGTAGTTTATACCACAAAATTGCTACTGGCGAGTTTTTACAGACATCGATTGTTAGAGTTGAAAATAGAGACATAAAACCCTTGCTTTTGGGTGACAGTGCATATCCCCTGACAACTTCTATTCTTAAGACTTACCCTAAAATACAAGAGACCCCAAGGAAGTATATTTCAACAAGGAACTTTCACTTGCAAGGGTATCAGTTGAATGTGCTTTTGGAATGCTAAAAGGACGTTGGAGGATACTCCAAAAACGGTTGGACAGCAACATTGCATTTGTATCCAAAATTATTATTGCATGTTGTGTACTACACAATTTTTGTCTCGATGCTGACGATGTTTGAGATGTCTGACCTGTCATGCAGGCATGATTTCCGTCTGAGTTGAACTAAAATTTGATAAGGGACTACTACATAAAGGATAGAAACGATTGAATAGAATTGAAAACACATCAGCTTAAATGCATAGATGGAATATAATAAAACCCGAGCTACAGTTATGTAAAATTACATGAAAAAATTCAGTATTGATTACATATTGTCATCAAAAATAATATATCACTTATCTTTGTTGTTGCTGTTATCAGAATTGTTTTGCATCATTTTCATCATATTGTTCATAAACTGGCTCATAACCTGGAGCTGCTGAGATGGTTTTTCTCCATCGATTCTAGAATATTGTTCAATTTATCTCCTTGTTGTTGCAATGAGTTGATCTGTCCAGCAAAAGGATCATCTTCCTCGTCATCAATTTTTACAGCTTTTCTTGCTTTTCTTTTCTTTTCTTTTATCGCCGTCATCTTTTTCTGTTGATGTACCGCTTTACATACTAGGTGAACTTGAACTTGGCATGGTAGCAGCCTTCATAATACTTTTCCCTTTGCTTGGTTTGTTGGATGATTCCTTTTCTTTGTTGTATTTGGTGTCTTTGGCATCAGATAACTTTGTTTCGAAAACGTGTTGTAATGTTATGATGTCGCGGCAACCCAAAATAGAGTCCATCTCGTCGTAGAATGGGGAGGTTTTCCTTTCGCAGCCAGATCTTTTGCTTGTATTTGTCTTTCAGGTATTGAATTTTTCTTTTACATTGTGAAACCGTCTTTCCAATGGATTTTGCGATCCCTTCCCACACTACTCTAGAGTGTCTCGAATTCTAGCCAGGTAAAGTTGTCTTTCCACTCAAACTGGACAG